CCAAGGCGTCTCCCTCCCCTCCTTCCCGCCCGACCCCCTCTTGTAATCCCTCCACCCGCTTCCCGTCTCTTTTCTTTTGGGCTGCTTGGGGTGGGGGGCTCTGAGGGCGCCCCTCAAATCCACCTGTCCTGACTTTGCTCAGCACAGGTCCCCGTTTGCCTCGCTCAGTCTCCTGAAGCTGGAATCCTTAGGCTTCTGGGTTGATGTCCTACCTACAGCCTCCCTGACCCTTCAGACCCCAAATCCTGGGATTACCTGGCCTTGAGAGTCCCCTCTTTCCCTAACCCCTGCTACTGCCTCCATTTGGTCTCATACCTTCCTGGGAATTGTGGCTCCCTCTCTGGGTGGGGTTCCCAAGAGTAGGGCTCCACCCCCAGCGTTTCCCCACTGTCCCATCCTCAGCTTTCTAAAACACAAAGGAGATCAAGTCTCCCTGGCCCCTACCACCCTCCGCCCCCCCAAAAAAACAGCAACAATAAAAACAAATACAAACCCACTTCCAGTCAAGTCCATTCTGACTCAGTAGTGACCCTGTAGGACAGAGTGGGTTTCCAAGGCTGTAAATCCTTTGCAGAAGCAGACTGCCACATCCTTTTCTCCCAGATTGGCTGGTGGGTTCCAACTACTGACCTTCCAGTTAGCAGCCGAGCGCTTAACAACTGTGCCACCAGGGTACTCAAATTCCCCCAAATCTCCGAGGTCCTGGGATACTTACTTACTCCTCTGCCTTGCCTGAACCAGGTGAGTCAGGATTTCTAAGGGTGGGGCTGAGGCTCAGGTATTTTTTTAAAAAATCTTTGAAGGTGATAAGTAGGGTCATAGAGCTAGTCAGAAGCAGAGACAGGAGTCAAGCCCAGGAGTGGCCTGCCCTTAGATTCGCATCTGCTCGTGTCTGAGTCCATGGTGGGGATCTTGTGATCATCGTGGGCCCCATGGCTGCCTCCCAAGTAGCCCCCTGAGCTCTGGGGTTTTGGGAAATTCAGCTCCCAGTCCGTCTCCTCAACCCCCTTAAATAAACCCAAACATGTATTGAACATGTTTGTCAGGCACTGTGCTAGCCCCTTGCACATCCCAAACCTTGCTTTGTTCCCATGGTGGCTGTGTGGGCCTGGAGGAGGGTTGTGACAAGCAGTGCCTGGTCTTCCACACTCTTTATCCACATGGACTCAGTCTCTGGATGGAACAGAGGAGAAGTGAGCTGCAGGGGCAAGGGCAGGTTCAAATCCTGGCTCTGCCACTTACGAGTTTCATGACTTTGGGCAAGCCCTTTTGCTTCTTTGAGGTTTGTTTTCTCCTATCAGGTAGAGTCTACTTCAGTGAATTAAGGTTAAATGAAATAATAAATAGATGTGAAAATGTCTGGCCTATAGTAGGCGATGAATGAATGTTGAATGAATAAGTCAAAAGGGAAGGAGTCCCACTGGACCAGGCAGAGAGCTCTAGCCTCTGCTTGCTTTTCCCCCTTCTCAGCCACATCCCCCAGGAGGGGCCTCTCATAGCTCATGACTGTCTCTGGGACAGACTAAGTCTAAGGAAACCCTTTTATGTGTCCCTCGCACCATGTGTTGCCCAAGAAGCTCTCACCCATTCAACCACAAACTCTCTGGAGATGCCTGTCTTGGGCTCAGGCCTGTGCTGAGCTGTGAGGGCACTAAGAAACAGTCCCATCCTCACAAAGCTCCTGGGCTAATAAAGAGGCAAGCAGACATGAATTGCTCTTTTGGGGGTTAGAGGGAGGAATGGGTGCTAGGGGGGTCCAGAAGATGGAGTATGTGAACCCAGGAAATTTTGATGCTTGAGTGGAATCTTGAGGGAAGAGGAGGAATTGCCCAGGGATAAAAATGGTAGTCAAGGAGGGCTTCCCAGAGGAGGCAGTTACTGTGCTGAACCTTGAAGGATGAAAAAAGCAGTTTTCCAGGCAATGGCAGGTATTATAGGTGGGCAAACAGCATAGTATGGCCTTTGTTCAGTTTGCTCTTATTGTTCAGTTGAGAGCAGCCAAGGAACCTGGACTCAGGTCAGACAGAAAGCTTCTAGAATTATCCATGGGGGCCCAGAACCCAAGGACCACTCCCCACAACTCCCGTTATACATATGCCCCTGGATTCCCCCACAACAGTCCCTCCCATGCTGTCCTCTGGGCCCCAAGTATGTTGTACAGTCTGCTGTACAGTCTCCTCGAAAGATCTCATCCTCCAAAGAGTGTTTTCTTACCCTTGCCTGTCCCTTTCTGCAAAGTTCAGCACTTTGTCTGCAGGGCCCAAGCTTGCCCTCTGCTCAAAGGTGAACGTTCCTGGAAGCTCCAGCCCGTTTTCCACTTCAAACAAAAGGCTGGAACTCGCACCTCAGTCTCCACACACGGCCAGAATGCTGAGCTTCCAGCTTGGCTGGGCAGCCGTCCGGAACGAGGAGTGGGCCCGGCCTAAATTTGGAGATGTTCGTTGGAAACTCAAGTGCTGCTAATTCAGGCCTTCCAAATTTGTGTGTTTCCCACTCTTCCCCATAGAGCAAGTCGGCTGTCTTGGGCAGGAGATTCAAAACCCTGCCTTCCCACCACCCTTTGTCCAGAACAGATCCAAGGGAGGGAGGCCAGACCAGTCAGAACCATCTGCTCTTCAAAAATAAGTTAGCAAGTTCCTACTGTGTGTCAGACTCATTTATAAGCACTCGTTCCTCACAGCACCTTTGTGATGCACAAGTCATTGGTCCTCATTCTGTAGATGAGGAGTCTGGGGTTTAGAACGTGGAATTAACTTGCCTGAGGTCTCAGAGCTGGTTCGGCTTCTGACTCCAAATCTTGCTCAGCATACCTTGTCTTCCAGGGAGTTCCCACATTAGCTTGGGAGCACAGGCTCAGGAGTTTGGCTGTGCTAAAATTCTTATTTTTGGAGCCCACTAACCGACTTCACACCAAACATTAAAATGCACTTACAGTACACGTTAAATGTAATTTATATTTAACGGTGTAACAGTGGAGTTAAGCTACCGTTGAGTAGCTGTCCTGATATCGGGTTTTGTACACGACGGTTGGGACTCTTTTCTGTTGCAAGTGAAAGAACACAGTCTCACCTGGTTTAAAGGAAACAAAATATTGACCTAATCAACTGTGAGGTAACTTGAGCTTCAGATGCAGCTTAATCCAGAGCCCAAATGATGTGATCAGGACTTGGTATCTCCCAATCTCTTCCTCTTGGCTTTGCTTCCTTTCTGCTGGCTTCTCTGTCAGACATTCTCCTCATGGTGATAAAATAGCTGCCTCAGCTTCAGCCTTACATACTTCCCAAGTTGAAATCTGCCTGTGGTTTTTGAGGGAGTGCCTGGGTGGAGTACCAGCTGCTTACTGAAGCGTTGGCAGTTTGAACCAATGCAGAGGCACCTCAGAAGAAAATCCTGGAGATCTGCTTCTGAAAGGTCATAGCCATGAAAGTCCAGTTGCACTGTGCAACACATGGGGTTGCCATGAGTCAGAAACGACTGGACAGCAACTTTTTTTTTTTTTTTTTTAATAGAAAGCTCTTAAGGACCATTCTGATTGGACAACTTAGGTCGCATGCCCAGCCTTTAACCAATCACCAAGACCTAGAGGAAATAATATTGTGAGTGGCTAGGTCTGGGACTTTTGCTCTAGTAGGATTGAGGTAGAGCCTGGTGGAGAGTGGGGAAAAGGTGGATTCCTAAATGACAATGGGAATCTGTTACCTAATTGGAAGGTAGAGAAGGGTGCAGGAGTGGCGGATATCAAAAGTCCATTCCACTTGTCCAGGAAGTGAAATGGCTGAGGCCAAAGCTTGGTTCTATGTCTATGACTCCTACCTCAGGCCCTCTCTCCTCTGCTGCCCAGAGCTATGGCCACACTCCCGTGCCCTTATCACCTAGCTCTGCCTCTCTGCACCCTGCCCTCCCCTTCTCACCACCTCCTCCTCTCTTCCCTGCAGCCCGATGGCACCAGCAAGGAGTGTGTGTTCATCGAGAAGGTCCTGGAGAACAACTACACGGCCCTGATGTCAGCCAAATACTCTGGCTGGTACGTGGGCTTCACTAAGAAGGGGCGGCCACGGAAGGGCCCCAAGACTCGGGAGAACCAGCAGGATGTGCACTTCATGAAGCGCTACCCCAAGGGGCAGGCCGAGTTGCAGAAGCCCTTCAAGTACACAACGGTGACCAAGAGGTCCCGGCGGATCCGCCCCACACATCCCGGCTAGGCTGACCCACCGTGGCCCCTGCAGGCCGCCCCAGCCCACACTCACACTCACAGAGAACTGCATCAGAGGAATATTTTTACATGAAAAATAAGGAAGAAGCTCTATTTTTGTACATTGTGTTTAAAAGAAGACAAAAACTGAACCAAAACTCTTGGGGGGGGTGTGATAAGGATTTTATTGTTGACTTGAAACCCCCGATGACAAAAGACTCACGTAAAGGGACTGTTGTCAACCCACAGGTGCTTGTCTCTCTCGAGGAACAGACAACTCTAAACTCGTCCCCAGAGGAGGACTTGAATGAGGAAAACTACACTCTGAGAAACCAAAGTCCTTTTTCCCAAAGGTTCTGAAAGCAAAAAAAAAAGAAACAAAGAAAGAGAAAGTGGTACAACCCAACAAACTGCCCCCTTCCCCAGCTCCCCAGCCCTGCCTCAAACTCCAACAAAAATCGCTCTCTGGTTTGCAGTCATTTATTTATTGTCCGCTGCAAGCTGTCCCGAGACACCGCGCAGGGAAGGCGTGCCCCTTGGAATTCTCCGCGCCTCGACCTCCCGACGACAGACGGCTTCGTCCAATCTTGGTGACCCTGCATTGCTCGCAGTTCTGGAAGATGCTGCTATCGACCTTCCGTGACTCACGTGACCTAGTACACCAATGATAAGGGAATATTTTAAAACCAGCTATATTATATATATTATATATATATAAGCTATTTATTTCACTTCTCTGTATATTGCAGTTTCATGAACCAAGTATTACTGCCTCAACAATTAAAAACAACCGACAAATTATTTAAAAAAAACATGAGGTGAGTGGCCGCCGGGGGCAGGACTCAGGCAGAGCGGCTCCCTTTGTGTTTCATAGTTCTGGGTCTGTTGTCTTTGTGCTGAGAGCTGGGCTCTTAGTCATTCATTCATTCATTCAGTGACTCCTTTACAAATATTTAACTATGCACCAGGCACCGTTCTAGGCACTGAGACTGCAACTTTACACAAAACAGAGGGAAATCTTTGCCTTCCAAGAGATTACATTCTAATGAGTCATTGATGCGTTGATTTCAGTCATACACACACATGTATTACTAGGCACCTCCTATGTGCAAAGGCTCTATTCTAGACGCTGGGGTCTATCAAAGAACAAATAAAAAAAAAAAATCCCTGACCACAGGGATTGTAGTAATTCATTGATTCCTTTCTTCATCATTTGATTTCTTAATGGATTTGTTTATTCAACACATTTATTAAGTACTGGCTAGTGTAAATGATGAATGTGCTCAGCTGCTAACCGAAAAGTTGGAGGTTCAAGTCCACCCAGAGGTGCCTTGGAAGAAAGGCTACTTCCAAAAAATCAGCCATTGAAAGCCCTCTGGAGCCCAGTTCTATGCTGACACATTGCCAGGCACTGTTATAAAAAAAAAACAAAACTAAACCCATTACTGCCCAGTTGATTCTGACTCATGGCAACCCCATATGTTACACAGTAGAACTGTTTCAGAGTTCGCTTGGCTGCAGTCTTTACGGAAGCAGATGGCCACACCTTTCTTCCCTGGCACTGCTAGATGGCCAATCTTTAGGCTAACATTAAGTGACCACCCAGGGACCTGTAGGCACTGTTTTAAGTGCTGGGAATTCATCAGAAAACAAACCAGACAAAAATCACATGCCTCATGGAGCTTGCAGTCTAGGGGTCAGTTGGAGTCATTTGTAAATCCTGCATGTGTGCGTACATATACGTATACATATAGGGGGTGATGGGTGGTGCAAACAGGTACTCAATCGAATACTAAGCCCAAAGTTTGGCCCACTCAGTGGCACCTCAGAAAACAGACCTGGAGATCTGCTTCCAAAAGATCACAGCCTTGAAAAGCCTATGGAGCCGTTCTACTCTGCACATGTGGGGTCACCACGAGTCGGCATTGACTCAATGGCGACTGACACCAACAACATACATATTACATGTATACATGTGTATATATCTTCCAGGCACAGGCTGAATAACACAGTGATGGCACCGTTCTCCTCAGCTGGTGGTGGAGGAGCCAGGGGGCCCAGGTCAGGTTGGACCTGGTGTTTTCTCTCCTTGCACGCTCACTGGCTGGAGCGTGAGGAGTCCATCTGGCATTGTTAACTTCCAGGCACACTTTCTTCTCAGTCTTCTTTCCCAGGGCCTGCCCCGGGATGTGGGGAGAGGCCAGGTTCATTTTGGGACTGAAAGTAGGTTGAGGGTTTGGGCATCCCTGCATAGTCAGGCTGGGGGAGGGAAACTGTCTCGTCTCTTCCCTTCTCCTGGCTTCCAAGCCACGTCTCTTTCTTCCTCAGGAAATTGCACATTCCACTCCCACCAGGCAGGGCTGGAGTCTGACTGAGAAGGGCCTCCTCCCAGGTCCTGCTGTACCACCCACTGCGCTTGAAGACGCCCCCTACCAAGAGTGGCCAGGAGGGGCTCCCAAGTGAGGCCTAAGGAGAGGAAGTGGCATGGGCCAGGACAGGGGCACGTTCTTTGCAGACTCCTGGCCGAGGAGGGGCTCAGCTGCTTCTGAGCCGTGCACGCCCTCGTGACCCAGGTCAGAGCTGGGGGGCCAAGGGCAAGCCTTGGTTCTGCTCCCTGTCTGCGTTATGAGGGTTTCTCTCCCCTTCCCGGGGTCCTGTCCCACCTGTCTGTGACTGGCCCACCTGCCTGTCACAGCACCTTTTCTTGGGGCTTTGTGAAGTCCTTTCAGATGTACAATCTCATTGCATCCCCAGGACTGCCTGTGAGGAAGGTAACTATTATTGTTTCCATTTTATAGATGAGGAGACTGAGGCTCAGGAATGTTAAGCCGCTTCCCCAGGATCACAGAATAAGAAAGTGGTGTGGCCTCTACTCAAATTCTAGACTCCGTAGGGTTACAAGAACTGCCATTTGGAAAGTGCCTACTGTGTGTCAGACCCCCAGCTAGGTGCTTTACATATACTGCCTGGGCATCTACCAAACAACCTTGTGGGGAGATAGGTACCCCCAACATCCATACTGACAGATGAACAAACAGGTCCAGAGACGTCACCGACTCTCCCAAGGCCTCACCAGTCGCTGTGAGCAGGTGACTGAGCTCGCGACTCTTTCTCTTTTTTTTTTTTGTACTTCAGGTGAAGGTTTACAGAACAAATAGTTTCTCATTAAACAGTAGTACACATAGTGTTTTATGACATTGGTTAACAACCCCACAACATGTGAACCTTCTTCCTTCTCGACCTTTTTTTTTTTCTTGGTGAAAATATGCATAGCCAAAGATACACCATTTCAAAAATTTCTATATGCACAGTTCAGTGACATTGACTACGCTCTTCCAATTGTGCTGCTATTCTCACATTAGATGAAGGTTTACAGAACAAAGTAGTTTCTCATTAAACAGTCAGTACACATGTTGCCCTATGACAATGGTTAACAACCTCGCAACACATCAACACTGTCGTTACTCAACCTTGGGTTCCCTATCACCAGCTTTCCTGTCCCCTTCTGCCTTCTAGCCCTTGTCCTTGGGCTGCTGTGCCTTATTAGTCCCGTTTTGTTTTATGGGGCTGTCCAATCCCCGGCTGAATGATGAACCTCGGAAGTGACTTCACTCTTTCTCTCTCTTTTTAATATTTTATTTTTGTTGTTGTTGAGAATATACACAGCAGGAGATACACCAATTCAACAGTTTCTACATGTACAATCCAGTGACATTGATTACATTCTTTGAGTAGTGCAACCATTCTCACCCTCCTTTTCTAAGTTATTCCTCCCCCATTAACATAAACTCACTGCCCCCTAAGTTTCGTATCTAATATTTCAAGTTGCTGTTGTCACTTTGATCCCATATAGATAGTTCTTAAAAGAGCATAATGTGCAAGAACCCGAGATTATGGTTGTCATTTATTGAGTACCTATTATATGTCAGCTTCTTTCACTATTATTTTACTGAACCAATAACCCTATGAGATGGGTGTTTATTATCTTTTGCATTGAAAGTTTCAGAGAAGTGAAATGACCTACCTAAAGCAATACAAGCTAGAAAATTGTGGAGCCAGATTTTATTCATTTATTCAATAAATACTGAGTCTACTTTGTGCCAGGTGCTGTCAAGGGGCCAGAGATACAACAGTGAACTGAACAAAGCCCCTGCCCTTACATTCCATTTGGGGGGATCAATAATAAACCAAATACATATAAAATATAATGCTAGTCATAAAGAAAAATAAAGCAGGATAAGGTGATATGGGGTGCTGGGACTATTTTAGACAGGGGCCAGGGAAGCCTCTGTAGAGGAGAGTTTTGAGCAGAAGCTGAAGGAAGTGAGGGAGAACCCATACAAACACAGAGGGGAAGCACATTACAGGGAGATGGAACAGAGAGTGCTAAGGCTCTGAGGACTGTCAAGGAATACCAGGGAAGCCAGTGGCACTGGAGCAGAGCTCATGGGCTGGAGAGTATTGGACGGGACCAGACCATGAAGGTCCATTGTAAGGACTTGAGCTTTTATTCAAAGATGGGGAGCCATATATGATAAGCCTTATACTTTCGAGGGATCATTCTGGTTGCTAGGTGAGAAGGACCAGCAGATTCCTGCCTGAAGCTGCCTAACCCCATAGCTCGGCTCTACACTACACTACCTTACATTGCCTCCCACTCCTGGCTCCAACTACCCCCCACCATGCCCCCTAATACATCCTTGGGCCTTGATCCTGGCTCACAGGCACCTCCTTCACCCAGGACCTTGCCTTTGCTCCATCACAGGGGCAATGGTGATGGTGGTTATTTCCTTTTCCTGCCCCTGTAGTGGGTCCTGACTTTGGAAGATGTGGCCTAGCTTCTGTTTACTATAGACAGTGCATGCTGGACATTTCCTGTGCTATGAGAAATATGCTAATGAGAAGTGCAGTGGGCTGGTGAGAAGATTTCCCAGCCATGGATGTTGTCTTCTTAGGAATGCTCCCTCAAGAGGGGAGGTTTTCACAGTCCCACTAGATAGGGAGCCTGGG